TTCTTGAAAAATTTTTTTAAAAAAAAAAAAAAAAAAAAAAGAAAAAAAAAAAAAGATAAAAATATAGATAATTTAAAGAAATTAAAAAGATATAATTTAAAATTTCAAAAATATACAAAAGAATTTCTTTTATGAATTAAATTTTCTTTGTATTTCCTTTTAAATTTGAAAATATCATTTTACAACGCACACATTAAAAAAATAGCAAAAGAAAAAGTTTCATACATTTTGAAGTTATAAAATATAAGAAAAAAGGAATTATTTATTTTTATAATTTTTATCTAAATATAAAATATTTTTAGTTCCCTTTTTTTGGTATTTTTTTTTTTACATTATTGTCTTTACGGCATATAAATTACAAAAAAAGGAAAATTAGTAAAATAAAAAAAAAAAAAAAAAAGACAAACCTTTAATGGTTTAGCAACACCTAAAATTAAAAATTATATCAAGTTCAAAAGTTATAATTAAAGACAATAATATAAATATATAAAAACTATTTAAATTATTTATGTTCTTATTTACTAAAAAATTGTATCTATTTATAATTCTATAAAAAAAAAGGAATGAAATAATTAAAGAAATATTTCTGCTTAATTATAGAAGGAATATGAAAAAATAAATTATATATATATAAATGCACATATATCATAAAATTGTTAATAATAACTTTTAATACAAAAAAAAAGAATAAATAATTGATAACAATCAATCATTTAAAAATATACAAAAAAAAAAAAAAAAAAAAAAAAAAAAAAAAAAATATATATATATATATATACATATATATATATATATATATGTATAAGAAATAATAATGTTAATTTATATATCATTTTTTCTCAAATATGCTAATGAACATTTTATAAATTTTAATAATTTTTAAGAAACTATGGGAACATATAAAACATTTTTCATAATTATGTTATTTATTATAATTAAAATGCCTAAAGAAATTTTATTTTTTAAATATTAATACAACTTTATTTTATTCTCTTGAATAAATAAATTTCAGGTATTCTTTGTAATTTTTCACTTTTGTGGTATATAAAAATTTACTACTGTTCACAAAATTCTTATATGTTTTCCTTTTCTTAAAATCTTTTAACATCTATATTTTTACATATTTATATTGAAATTTTTTTAGCTTCAATTTTTTACTATTACATGCTTTTGAATTGTGTTCATTAATGGATTGAATTGTTTGGTTTTCTGTATATTTCACAGATTGTTCTAATAATGATATAATATCACGATTTATTTTATAAAATGCACTGCTACGAATTTCTATGCAACTTTTCATTTTCTCTTTATAATTTTGTTTAATCCATTTTATCTTATAATCATACTTCTGACAAAATTTACATAAAACTAATTCATTATTTTTGTAAACTTTTGAATGCATATTTCCACACCTGTGATGATAACTATTAAAACACTTATCACACATAGTTAAATTACCACAACTTTTACATTTTCTACAAACCTGTTAATAAAAATGACAAATGTTTAAATATTAATATATATATATATATATATATTAACAAATTACAAATATTTATGATTCTTATAAATAAATAATATTTTATAATGTAAAATTTTTTTTTTTTTACTTCATCATCAGCAAATCCTTTATCAATCAAATTCCACATTTCATGTTCAGCACCAACAATATTATGTAAAATATAGCTATACTGTATAAGAAAAAAAAAAAAAAAAAAAAGGGAATAAAATAACATTTATTATTTTAAAAAATATATGAAACAAAAATAATATATATAATAATTAACATATATATATGAATGAATAAATTATTTATAATTAAATGTATGGGAATAAAAACCTGCTGTATTCTTCTTAATTGCCCTATTTTAATAAGTGAAGGCAAAAATAAGCTGAACGAGTTAATAATATTTTTTTCTCCATCTGAAAATGAAGAAACAAGAATTTTCCAAAATTCTGTAGAAGTATTAAATGGTTTTGATTTAAGTGAAAAAAAATGATTCCACTGAAAATTTAAGTCGTAAAATATCCATGTAGAATAACATTCCATTAATCTTAAATTAGTTGCATTCATTTTACTGTACTGATATAATCCTTTTGTTGCTGTATTATCTATACATATATTCCAATCTTGCAGTTTTTTATGTAGATTATTAAAATTTTCTATTGGATTAAAAATATCATTATTTGTGATTTCATTATCACTTATATCATTTTCACTTTCATTTTTTCTTTTCAAATTATAATTCATACAATTGGGAGAATTACACAAGCATTCAAAATTATTAAAGACAAAATTATAGCTATTAAAAAAAAAAAAAAAAAAAAAAAAAAAATACATATATATATATAACACATATATGTTCATATAATTATAAATGTATTATTTTTTCTTTTTATATTACCTGTAATTATATGTAATTTCTTCTCCACATGGAATATCTTGTAATGCAAAAATTCCAATTCTATAATATCCGCGTACTATCCATTTCTGAGAAACACTATTTGGTGAACAAGAATGATTAACAAATCTTGAAATACTTCCTTTTCTTCTGCTATCAATATGAACATCTCTATTTATTTGAATAGAATACCAGTTGTACATGTCTGTTTTTTTGCTTTCTTCCTTATATGTTTCCATTCTTTTTTCAAAATCTTTTTTTCCGAGAACTTCTCCTACATATTCACAAATTAATTCTCCATTTTTTATATCCCTTTTACAAAATACACCATATCCTGTCTTTTCTGTTTTTTTAATCTAAAAAATATAAAACAAATTAAAACATATATAAATACATATATTAAGGCCACTAACATGTTAAATGCATATACAAATAAACTAAAATTAATATATATATATATATTTATATTTATATATCTAAATGCTTCTATAATAAAATACTATGTAAATAATAATATTCATCAACATATAAAAACTATCAATATTTAAAGTATGAGAGAAAATTCTCATATTGATATTTTTATATTTTAATCTTATAAAAATATATATTCATAATATAATGAAATTTTTTTTTTTTTTTTCGAAAGAATTACTTCTAAATCTTTTATTGCTGAATGCTTAAAAGGGCGATTAAAACATTTTCTATCTTGTATTTCTATTGGCAAATTACACCTATTTTTAGAACATTGAATTTTACTCAGTGAATTATAGCAGGTGAATGGATCACATTCTCCCTGGCATAAGCATCTATAATCATCTGACTTACAAGATAATAAATTTTTATATTGATCATTTAGATAAACATTTTTCGATATATATTCAAAATTCAAATAGTGGCTATATTTTTTTAATGCGTTTACATCAATTTTATACCCATTTTTTGTTGTTGAAAAAAAATCATTCATATCTATTTTACTATTTTTCAAATTTTTTTTCTTTCCTTTTAGATGATCTTCCTCTTCATTTCCATTTTCATCATAATTATTTATTTTTTCCTCTGATTTTTCACATTTATTATCTTCATTTATATTTTTATTTTTATCTATTTTGTCACTGGTTTCAATTTGTATACCTTCACTCAATATTTCTTCCTTATTTTTTATATTTTCTGTTTTTTCGTTATTTTTTACTATATTCGAATTATTTAAATTTTGTTGACATTTTTTTACCATTGCTTCATTGTCTTTATCTTTTTTATCATTATTATAAGGGATTGTTCCTTCTTGTTTTACACCACTTGTTATATCTCCTTCATTTTTTTTCAAACCCTTTTCTTCAATGTGTGAGCTTGAGCTATTTTTTAACTCATTACACATTATATTTAAAACATTATTAGATATGTATTTCATTTTGTTGTCATCATTTCTGCTAGTATTATCACATCTGTTAATGTCACTACTGAATCCAAAAGATGAATTTTTATTTGATTTTTCTTGCGTAATTTCTTTTATATTTGATATATTATTATCAGTAATGCTTACTTTTATTAAATTTTGATTTTTATAATTGTAATTTTTTTCATTTTCAAATTTTTTATTAAATAAAAATATTACATAATTAATAAAGTCTTCTCTCAAAGAACACAGAACATTTATCTGTTCCTCACACTCTTCATTTATTTGATCTACATTTATTTCATTTAATGATAATAGTGATTTTTCTATATCTAAAATTTTTTTAATTTTGACATTTATAAAATTATATTCTGTTTCTTTTTTAATTTTTTCATTTGTATAAGAATCACAATGCATATTTGAATATTTGTCTTTACTAATATTTTCATTCTTATAATTATCATAATTTCTATGATTTTTCATATAAATATCATTATTAATAATAAAATTATCAAAAAAATCGATAATTTTTTCATTTTTATTATTTGTATTATCATTTGAATTACACTTTTCGTTTTTGTCAAAATTTTCACTTAAATTATTCGCATAATTATCATATACTTCATTATCAATTACACTATTTTCTATGTTATTTTCATAATTTATTATTTCATTAACATCTCTATCACTTTTCATAATATTTGTTTTTTGAGGTGATGTTGAATCTAATTTATGCCTTGTAAAATCACTTAAAATATTAATATCTAAATTATAATTTTTTAAAATATCAAGTTCACTAAAATTAGAAAGTTTTCTTTTCTTATTTACACAGTTATAATTATCTAAGTTTAAGTTTTTGCTATCTATATCTTCATTATTAATAGTATTAAAATTTTCATAAGTTTCAAGTAAACTATTCTTATTAGTACTTTCTATATAACTGTTAGATAAATTGTTTAATTTTATGTTATTTATTATTTTTTGTTCATCATTATAAGTATCATCATCTACGTTATTACGAATATTATTTAAAAAACTTGACTTATAAATATCTTTTTCTACTAAATGATCAAAATTATTCTTGTAAAAATTTTCATTCATATCTATTTTATTTTGTAGTTCCTTAAGAATATTCAATCTTTCTTCTTCACCTTCCGTTAAATCAAATATTATTTTCTTATGTATGCTATTATCATATCCATTTTCATAATCCATTTCTATTTTTTCCTTATGATGGCAATCGTTAGTATCTTTTTTTAAATTGCATTCTTTGGATTTACATATATTTTCATTTTTCCTTAACTCTTCATCATTAAATAATATATTTTTGTGTTTTACTTTTTCATTTTCATTCCTAGAAGGATAATTTAATAAAAAATTCGCATCAGGGGAATTAATCATATTTGATATACGTGAGATACTGTCTAATTCTACATATGGATATATGTTACTTTCTTCTATATTATTTTTAAATTTATTTTTTTTAACAAAATTTTTATCATCTAAATTCTTCTTTAGAGCATTCATAGATTCCATGTGTTTTTTTTTATAATATTCTATATGACTTGAACAGAACATAATTTTTTGTTTATAAGAAATTATATAATTATTACTCATACAATGAAGATGAATGGATTTAAAACATTTTATACATCTAAATAAACAATTG